GCATACATGATTTTGTGATAGGAATTTCTGACAGGTCTTTGGCAAGCGCTGGCGAGAAAAGCTTTGTTTGCCTTGTATCACTTGCAGGGTGGCCTTGAGGATGAACCAGATATTAATGTCCATAACTATGTGATGTAGGAGCCCATAAACTGTCCCAGTTGTCAAAAAAACAAACAAACAAAAAAATTGCCATGTAAATGCCAAGCAATTCAGAAAGTAGACGGAACGAAAATTATGTACTTTTAGTGTTTCTGTATATAAAGGTATGTGTGGTTAAGAAAACGTAAAAACAGATCAATTAATCTGTAAATCATACCAAAGAGAGAAAGGCCGAGGTTCTATTTGCTGAAGTAGCCCCAACCGCCAAGGGTTTCCCTCCCTCGGTGTCCTAGGAGCAGAACCCTGGCGAGGGGGAGATTCCGCAGGAGACGAGGAAGCGCTACTCTTCCCTTCGCCTCCTCCGGGAGTAGGTGTGAGGTCGTATTATCTTTGGTTAATGATGGTCTTATCGGGCTAGACAGTCAATTATTAGCGCATGTGTTTATATTATAATTCTGCTTATGTTCCGTCTGTTCGCACGTTACGCTCACTTTTTTTCGATAGAAGCCATATTCAATTTCACTACTGGTTATTTTTGTGTGTGTGCGTAAAATAGATATCTTTTGTTTGGAACCATTTGATTGCAGACTTGAAATTTCTTGTTTCTGACGTAAATTAGGCCTCTTTTGTTTGGAATCATATTCCATATGATTGCGAACTTGAAGTGGATTCAGTTCGGTGTAAAATAAGGTGATGACTGACAACAGAGATATGAAAGAATCGCACACCAATCGTCGTGCGCATCTTATTATAAATCTGCGAGAATCCTATCTTATCTAGTATCATTATTATTAGTGTCAGTATTGTTATTGTTATCGTTTTTGTTGTTATTATTGTTATCAATGTTATTATTATTATTATTATTATTATTATTATTATTATTATTATTATTATTATTATTATTATCATTATTATTATTATTGTTATTGTTATTGTTATTATTATTATTGTTATTATTATTATTATTATTGTTGTTGTTATTATTATCATTATTATTATTATTATTATTATTATTATTATTATTATTATTATTATTATTATTATTATTATTATTATTATTATTCAATCCAAGTACTCTGCACTGAAGTAGGTATGGGGGTAAGGGGGTTAAAAAGGACAAAAAACAAACAAACAAAAACAGACAATCATTTACCAAAAATAATTTCCTTTAAAAAGAACTCATGCAAAACATGAGCAGACAGGGAAAGGGAACCTTCACGCGAAGCCCTAATCCCCAAGGCGTCCGAGGAGAGAAGGAAGAATGCGTCTGCCAATACTATAAGTTCACATTGCACGGCCGTCAACAGAATAATCCGAGGAACTTGCGAATGTTGGGTAACTATTAAGATAACCTCTTCAAGCAGATGGAAAGAAATTAGATCAATATTCGCCCAGTTGCCCAGGGAATTCAGATGATCATTACCAGGACGTATATGCGACACCAAGCGTAGTTGCCCGGGCTCTGTCTTGCTTACGGGGGAAGATTTTGCAAACCAGACGTAAGGAGGTTTAGGAAGTTTAGGAAGTCCTCCAGTTACAGGAATGTGTATCGCATCCACAATTACTGACGTGAATCTGAATCTTATCACGCCCGCCCCGGCACTATCGGAGCCGATATCGTAGCTCGGGTGAGTGTTGGATGCGTTCGAAACACGGCGAGAGCTCTCAGAAAAAAAAAAACAGGCTGTTCTCCCGCAAACCGCTGTTAGGCGTCATTCCTGAATTATCTATTTATCTGTGCTCATCTATTCATCTGTCTACCTTTTAATTTGTCTATCTCTTTACCTGACTACACCTGCCATACCGACTACTACAGGCTCCTTTACCAATATATCTTCCTATCAATCAATTTATCAATCCACCTATTCCCTCCTCTTTTTATTCGTCTGTTAAACCATTATTTCAGCTTCTTTTTTTATAGACCGATCTCGTAATCTGCCTGTCTGTTTGTTCATCTCTCTCTCTATCTGTTCTTCTATCTGTTTGTCCGTACATATATCTATCCATCTATTTATGTCTCAGCCCTTCTATCTATCAATCAGTTCATCAGTCTATCAGTAGGTTCAGCTATTTATCTATCTATCTATCAGTCAGTTCAGCTATTTTTCTATCTGTGTATCAGTCGGTTCAGCTATTTACCTATCTGTCTATCAGTCAGTTTAGCTATTTTTCTATCTGTCTATTAGTCGGTTCAGCTATTTATCCATCTATCTATCCGTCTATCCCTGTACCCATCTATCCACCACCACCAGACTCGCCACTACAGCCTTTAACCCTTTAACCTCCCTTCCCCCCCTTCCCCCCCAGCTTGCCCAGAGCATCCGCCTGCTGCTGGAGTTCACGGGCACCGACTACGAGGAGAAGCTGTACGCGAACGGCCCGACCGAGTGGCTCAGCGAGAAGGAGACGCTGGGACTGGACTTCCCCAATGTAAGGAAGGCCTCCGCTGAGACGGGTTTGGTTGAGTACGTAGATACATATAGGTAAAGATAGATAACGCACGCACACGCACGCACACACACACACACACACACACACACACACACACACACACACACACACACACACACACACACACACACACACACACACACACACACATACACACACACACACACACACACACACACACACACACACACACACACACACACACACACACACACACACACACACACACACACACACACATACACACACACATCCACACACACACGCTCGTACACATACATATACATAAACAGTATCAATATTAGGACTATATTTAGTATTATCTTCATCAATATTACCGGTTCTGTTGTTATTGCAGTTGCCAAAATTAGAGCTTTGATTATCATTCTTCATGATTATCAGTCCTCAACATTCCTACCTATGCTTTACCTTCCTCATTGTTATGATTCTCACCATCATCAGTCATCACCATCACGTCCGCCACAGCTTCACCTTCATCATCACTGTCATATCCTTCATACTTGTCTCCCTCGTCACTAGCCATCACTATTATACCTCCTTCCTACTAATTATCACAGTCAAACCTCCCTCATCACGAGTCATCACTCTTAAACCTCCACCATCATCTTTTCTTCCTCCTGGTGACCTTCTATTCACTATTATTATTGTTATTATTATTATTTTGAAACTCGCTCATCACCATGCACGATTTCGAGAAACTCACCTCATCACCTCCGTCACCTGTCATCACTTCTTTGACATGTCTGACCGCCAGCCTTCATCTTGTTTTAAGCTCCCTTCATCTCCAGTCATCACTCTTTTTTTTAAACCTCTTTAATCCCCAAGCATTGCCCTCTTCCTCCCTTTCCTTTCCCTTATCGCCTCTTTTGACTTCCCTATCTCCATCATCACTCTTTTCTTAAACCTGCCTTATCGCTTTCTTTTATCTCCACCATTCCCATCTTCACTTTTTTTTTACCTTCACCATGTTTTTCTCTCAACTTCCATTATCTCCATTATCACTTATTGTCTTTTCTTGTCTTCCTTATCAACCTCATCTCCCTTATATCTCCTTCTAATCCTTCCCCCATCTCCATCACCTCTATTTTAACCTCCCTCATCACTTTTCTTAATCTCCCTCATGCAAATCACCACCATTTTAAAATCCCCCTCATCTACCTCATCACTTTTCTTACCTTCCGTCATCCACATCACCATCCTATAGGAACGTCTCTTATCTCCCTCATGTACATCACCACCCTTTTAAAATCTCCCTCATCACTTTTCTCATTCCCTCATTTTACATCACCCTTCTCTATTTCCCTCTCATTCCCTCATCGTTTTTCCCCATCCTCCCTCACCCGCATCACCACCTCTTCAAAACCTCCCTCACTTCCCTCAATCGCCTTTCCTCCCTCATGGCCTTCCCCCCTCACCCTCACCTCCCTCATGGCCCTTCCTCACTCATGGCCCTTCCACCCTCATGGCCCTTCCTCCCTCATGGCCTTCCCCTTTCACCCTCACCTCCCTCATGGCCCTTCCTCCCTCATGGCCTTTCCTTCCTCACCCTTTCACCTCCCTCATGGCCCTTTCCTCCCTCATGGCCCTTTCCTCCCTCATGGCTCTTCCTCCCTCATGGCCTTTCCTCCTTCACCTTCACCTCCCTCATGGCCTTTCCTCCCTCATGGCCTTTCCTTCCTCACCCTTTCACCTCCCTCATGGCCCTTTCCTCCCTCATGGCCCTTCTTCCCTCATGGCCCTTCCTCCCTCATGGCCCTTCCTCCCTCACCCGCAGCTCCCCTACTACATCGCAGACGACGTGAAGCTGAGCCAGAGCTTGGCCATTCTGCTCCACATCGGCCGCAAGCATGACATGTGCGGAACGACTGATGCTGAACGATCCACCATAGATATGTTGGTTCATCTGGCCGACGACATGAGAATGCACTACAGTCTCTTCGTCTATATGGATTACGTACGTAGGAAAGGAAAGGAGGATCTTTCAGTTTTGTTTATGTGTTGTTTCTCTCTGTTTGTCTCTCTTTCTGTGTCTCGGCCTGTCCGTCTGTCTATCTTTCTTTCGCTGACTCTGTCCGTCTATCTTTCTTTCGCTGACTCTGTCCGTCTGTCTGTCTGCAGTCTGTCTCTCTCGCTCTCACTCTTTTCTCTTTATCTCCTCATTCTCATTTTCTCTCTCTCTCTCTCTCTCTCTCTCTCTCTCTCTCTCTCTCTCTCTCTCTCTCTCTCTCTCTCTCTCTCTCTCTCTCTCTCTCTTTCTGTTTATGTAAAAATTTATCTTAGGAAGTTGTTATTTTGATGAAAGAAAAGAAGAAGAAAAAAATCTGTAATAAACAATTTTTGTTCCCCAGAAAACCAAGAAGATCGAGTACTACAGGCGAATGCACAATAATGGAGAGAGATTGTCAAAGTACTTGGGCAACAAGAAGTGGTTTATGGGTGACACAGTAAGTCTGATTCCTTTTTATGCATTTATAATCACTGGGCTGTTAATTCAGGAGTGAGGCAAGGCTGGGATCTTGTACCAGCACTTTTCAACACTGACATGGACTGGATACTGGGCAGAGCTGCTGTCCAAAGTCCTTGTGGAGCAACATTGGGCAATAGCAAGGCCAAAGACCTTTTCTGTCTATGGAAACGCTGGCGGCGGCTCTTGGTGCATTCAGCAATGAGGATTTAAAGGTCTCCTGGACTAAGACCAACTTCCAGGATTTGGAGAACCTGTGCAGTCGGTGGCGAGGACGGTGAAGTCACAGAGAGCTTTAGAAACCTTGACAGTGTAGTACATGACCCTGATCTGTCAGACCAGGAAGCCAGTAGACGGATTAACCTGGCAGCAGGAGCCATAAACTTAGTCAACAAGAGTATCTGGAGATGCCGGCAGAAGGAACAAGTTACGTGTCTTCAAGGCCTTGATACTGCCAGCTTTGCTTTATGAAAGTGAAACCTGGACGCTATCTAATGTCTTCACTTTTCTTACACCAGATCATGGGGGGGCAATTAATAGAACCACGCCCTGCCGACGGTTACACCTTGAGACCGGCATAAGCCTTTGTACTTGTACTCAGGCTATACGGGCACCTATATGTACATGCATATGTGTGTACATGTATGGATATATGTACGCACGCACACACACACACACACACACACACACACACACACACACACACACACACACACACACACACACACACACACACACACACACACACATATATATATATATATATATATACATATATATATATATATATATATATATAAGTATATATATATGTAGTATACATATATATGTACATGTATGTATACATATATATGTACATGTATGTATACATACATGCATACATATATATATATATATATATATATATATATATATATATATATATATATATATATATATATATACACACACACATATTTGTATATAGTGTCTCATCTCAAGAAAAAAAAGACAGGCAACTAGACCGGGCCTCTTGCGTACTGCGATTCTCCATCTCTCTTTTTTATTTTTGTCAGTTGGCATTTAATACTTATATTCTATATGCCTGGATTTATAAAACTCATATACAATAATTTTATTGCTTTATCTTGTCATTGCTATTTTTTCCCAAAGAGATTTAACAAATCATGGCATTCCAGTGGCTAGGGTGAGTTGCCAGTATCTCCTTTACTGGAATGATACGGAATTTAGCAAGGAACATGACCATTATACTTTGATTTACGATCACTATCATTAATAATGAATCCTCTTCTCCCTCGCACATAGATCACTGTCGTTGACTTCCTGATGTACGAGCTGCTGGACATCCATCTAAAACTGAAGGACGATTGGCTTAAGGACTTCAGCAACCTTCAGGAGTTCCACAAGCGCTTCGCGGCACTGCCAGCCATCCAGGAGTACATGGCTTCACCTCGCTTCATTTCAGCGCCGCTTAATGGAGCTTCGGCCCTGTTTGATATCGTGTAGAGTGTCGTCTGTTTGGCCTGTTTAAACATATGAAACATAGGGATAGGAATTAAATGTTCTCTCACTCTCTGTCTCTATTCTCTTGCTATTTGTGTGGCTGTCTCTCTACACTACTAGATTTTGGAGTATCTCTTATGCCGGACTAGATGTGTTTGGTCACAGCTCTGAACTTCGAGCGGCGGAGAACGTGTCACGGTCCTCTCTCTGCAGTTTATGAACTCGTAAGCAGTTCTGTGTTGCGGTTATCTCCTGCCGGCGGGGCTGAAGGAAGGGGCATTCATCTGGGAAATGATTTGATTGAAGAGCTGCTGAGGCATGGAAACTGTGTGGCAACATTAGATAAAAGTGTTAAAAATTTCCACACGCACAAAAACAATGAGTTACACAGGAATATTACAGATGTTAACAGCTATTGGGACGGCCTTCCATGGTCTAGCTCCATCATAATATTTAACAAATATGATAGATACTGAAAGAAATGACAATTATTTACTTGTAATGATCGTGATTGCTTGGTGATCACTGTATATTCCTTGTTGGATGTATTAAGATTTCTTAGATATATTCTTCCCCCTGAACCTGTTTTTAACATAAAAAACAAAAACAAAAAAAGACGTAGGAGTCATTATTGCACGCGAACAAACATAGGTGCGGTGTGGCATTGACAGTAGTAGCCAAAAAATAAACGAACAAATTAAACAAATGAACAAAATGAAACACACACACACACACACACACACACACACACACACACACACACACACACACACACACACACACACACACACACACACACACACACACACACATACATACATAAATATACACGCACACACCTACCCTACCCTACTTCGTGTTTAGAAAGGGACAGACAAGGATTCTACTGTTATTGAGAACTGGGCAGTTTGTGAAGCCATCCACATTTACTTTACATTAATGTACGGTTAAATGCAGATACAGGATATTTAATTGGCGACTCATTAGCACGGCAAGTAAATTGATTGATTTGCAAATACTGTTTGTGAAAAAGGTTATTATTATATCTATGATATTAATTTTTTATACGTGTTCCTGTTATTGTTTTCTTTGTTAAAGGCAATATATGTATTTGTACACACACGTTGTTTTATTAGATTTAGAATAACCCAAATCGTGAAACAAAATTGATTTGGGAGTCTCAGGCTGCACGCTAATCTCTTTTCCTATCTTTCCCTCTGTCAATTTCTCTGCATCTATCTTTCTATCTTTATACACACAACCAGGCAGAACTAGGCATACATGAGTGTCTATATATATATATATACATATATATATATATATATATATATATATATATATATATATATATATATATATATATATATATTTACATACATATATGTGTGTGTGGGTATAATGAACCTCTGGACCATCGTATCATCTTTCCTCTTTTTCAACTCCCATCTTCAGATGGAGATTCAAAACATTACCCTTGCTAAAAAGAAAGAAAGAAAGAAAGAGAGAAATTAACAAACAAAGTAAATAAGTGAACAAAATGAAATAAGCAAAAACACACACACACACAACACACACACACACACACACACACACACACACACACACACACACACATATATATATATATATATATATATATATATATATATATATATATATATATATATTATATATATATATATATAACACCAAAATGGAAGAATCTGACCTTGCCGTCCGATAGAACGTAACAGTCTAAGACACTTTTCTTCTATAGCATTTCCTTCGCAAACTATTAGTAAGGGCAGTAGAGAGGATGTTAAACTCAAAAATTCCAGGCACTCCATGACACGTACTGTTCCAGCGGCTATAATAATAATAATAATAGTAGCTTTGCCCAGGCCTTATATATAAATAGCTCAGCCTGTGTCAACTACTTACGGCTATCTCATTTTGTTCTCTGACACTCGATGCTTACCGTGGTGGCAGGATTGCCAGCAGGCGCTCCTGCCGCCAAGATGTAAGCACGCCGCATAATCTCTTAACCAGCACGGCGGCTGTTGTGGGCGGTCCCTGTCTCAGAAACTGTGTTTGCTCACAACTCTGCAAATAGTGTACTACGGTGGCGTTCGGCATCGCCGCAATGCATGCAACACCTGTCTGCATAGTCAATTGTCTCTATGATCTGCTATGCGCAATGGTAATCTAGTCTGATTCTTTGAAGAATGTCGGCTAGTCTGTCAGCAAGCTCATTCCCTCTGATGCCAATGTGGCTGGGGACCCAGTTTATAATTATTCTTCTACCCTGAGCAAGAATCCTCTGCGCTATGGTAAGCACAGTGCTGCAGACAGTCAATGCTGCTCTGGAGTCTGTATGTATGAGTACGTATGCTTCCTTCAGGGACACGTGGGCTAGGGTTTCCATTATTGCAACTGCCTCTGCCTGTAGCGAGGAGGCGTTGTCTGTTACCCTCATGGATTTTGTGGCATCCCTTGCTGCAAAGCCGGCGCCTGCAGTGTGGCTCAAGGGGTCGACTGATCCATCCGTGAAGTAGGTACTACTACCCGGAGGAGTGATGGCTGCTATGACCCTCTAGGCTTCTGCCTTTAGACTAGGCATGGGGTATTGATTCTTTCATGACAGAGAACTCGATCAAGGTTTGTGCCCACGGCGGAGCTCCGTTAAAGTCAGGGTGGAGGGAGTCCATGCCCTTGGCAAGTAGTTGTTCTATGAGCTGATAGTGCATCAACACCCTGGCTGTGTGAGACAGCCAGGAGTTGTTTGCAAAGAGCTCGCGGTCTTGTTCTTTGCGTCTGAGTATTTTTTTGTCTTAGACTTGTGTTCCTGGGAGCCTGGATGACCTTTAACAGGAATTGACCTTTAACAGGAATTTCCTCATGAATGAACAGTTATTCTTATATAAATAACACATACTCATCTTACTCCTCTCTAAATAGAGTAGTTACCGCAGCCCTTACAGGTTTTCAAAAATAGAAAACGTGTTCTTTTTATCTCAAAGAAAATGAAAGAGTCTATCGGTATAACTAAAGGCCATTTGCACCATAACATTTTATTGATAGGCCATCAAAATGGGAATACCCCTCTTCCATGAGCTGGTGGCATAACGGTATCTTGGGATGGGTTACATTTTATAGATAAATTATGGTATGTACAGTAGTTCATATGTTTGAGGAATTTGGGGGACAGGATGTACTACGTGGGCTCTGCTTATAGTTACTATAGTTTTTTATCGTCGGGGTTTTCAAATACAGTTGCATTTTTTCGTATCATCATCTTAGATCACAGAGAAAATGCAGATTACATATGGGGAAAATATATTATCTTAGAAACAGGCATTATTTTTTTTACTAAGAAGAAATGATTGGGTTTGAATTTGGCGGCCGTTTCTTCTATACGATGTGTACCTTCTCGAGATACTGAATAATATTTGATATTCATTGATGGTTTTTTATTGTTAATACTAAATGTGAGTTCAATCTTTTTTTTTTTTTTTTTTTTTTTTTTTTGTTTCACGCTGTGGTCTTCAAATAAAACTTTAAGAAATTTTGGTATTCCTTGTGATGCCTAGTTGTGATTAGCAGCTGGATATTGTGTTCGAATGGTTGTAATTGTTCATGGCTTAAGTGTCAGTTTATTTACACAATCACGGTTATTGTGTAAGTTGTATTAGATAGAAATATCTTTATGCATTTTTCAGAGTGCATTTAATTTGAGTTCAATGTTCCATTCTCTACTTTATGTGCCACATTGAAGTAAGTCGTTACCCACTGGCCAATGCATGTTGCTACCTCATGTGAATAGGTAGAGTTAGTGATATGATTAACAATCAATACCTGCGTAATAGTAGCGTCAGTCACTTGTCCTATGGACTCTTATCATATCAACTCTTACAAAAGATGCTTTCTGGTTAATTCCTTTCTGGCGCGAGTGGCTCTCCGTTTAAATAATCCATGCCAACATACGCAGTGCCTGAGAATTATCACAGCTCACTCTTGGAGAACTATACAAGCCTCCCGGGAATTATTATTAAGATAGAGAGGGCAAACTTCTCTATCAATAGGTTCCTCCACATTACATAAATATGAAAAGATTGCTTGAAAATACTTTATGCAGACGAATCTTTTACGTAAAAAAATGAAAACGAAGTGATACTCAAATTTATATATGCATTAGAAGCTAGTGCCTGTGATATTTCAAAATCGTATTGTTGTATTTATAGCTTGGATCTGTGTTGTTTGTAAACTCTAGTATAGTACGGACTGCTAGGTTTTTGTACTAATTCAAGACAGTATTACCTTTCCATAACTTGATTATAATTTCAGTACTCTCGCACTGCTTGTATAATCACTTGTAATCTGCATCTATAGCCAAACCTGTTATAGCTCTAGTACTGCATTTACTGTGAAACTGTATTTTGCGCTGTTTAAGCACTGTATTCATCACTAGGTCGTAAACCATTCCTATATTCTATTTCAAAGCACGTGTACATATTTGTAATAAGGGTTTATACTATATTTATTGTACAGCATGTTTTTTGTATTATATCGAAACCTTGTAAGTATAACCAAGTTTTGTACAGTTCCTAGACTTATGTACATCTATAGATTATGCATTGTTTATAACATTTCCTTGCGCAATGCATGCCTCCAACAGAAGGGGAGATAAAAAATACACTCTATACAACATCATTATATTATTCAGATCAGCATGTACATGTGTATTAGTGCGATAAGCTCTGTTCACACGTACACCAAATGTCCATGAACCAGCTAAGGAACCAGGTATGGAACCAACCATGGAACCAGCTCACAGAACCGAAGCATATAAAATGGTATGGATGATAAAGGTCATAATAATATCACATAGAAAAATTAGTAATGCTATTGAGAAAAAATGACTATATGATCGGACAAAGCGAAAAGATCAAACTGGAATCTACATTCCAAAGATTTTATATATGATAGACAAGGGACCATCAGTGTAAACTGAATGTGACATTTCATGATAACTATGGATAGGCGAAGGTAGGCAATTATGAACAAAAGAATGATGCAAAAAAATAAAACAAAAAGACATAGCTTTCGTTGATATATGTATCGTTTTTTTTGTGTGCGTTTTGTGCTTTACATTCTTTGATCACAGATAAATTTCTTACATATAGGATGACTGATCTTGAATAAAATGCAGGGTAATATTCCTGTACTCATGATTATGCATGACTGGAACGTTCGCACATTTCTCCGTCAAAATTCCCCTTACATAATCACAAGAACAGCAGAGAAGACCTTTGTCCCGTCCTTGTCTTGTGAAACATTGTCATAAATTCTGGTGGTAGAGAAGGAAGAATAAGAGAGAAAGAGAAGAAAGAGTGAAAAAATCTACACACAGGCCCATAGTTGACGAGAAAGAGAGAGACAGACAATGCAAGGCAGAGTGATTGCTATCGAGAGAGAATGAGAGGAAGATGAAGAATAAACAGGCCCTAGATTAACAATTTTGACATCCTTAAAAAAGGTGGCACGCCACCGTGCCCCTCATTAACAAATTTGGCACCATCATGCCCCTCGTAAACAATTTGAACACTATCATGCCCCGTTTACAAAATGAATACCACCATGCCCCTCATTAACAAATTTGGCACATCATGCCCCTCGTGAACAATTTGAACACTATCATGTCCCGTTTACAAAATGAATACCACCATGCCCCTCATTACCAAATTTGACCCCACCAAGCCCCACATTCACAAGCTGGCGCCATCGCCCCTCGTTAGCAGCCTTTGCAGCCAATGCCGAGGAATTGGACCATGAGGTCGTAGGAGGAGACGAGGTTGAAGTGCGGCACGGAGGCAGGCCACTCGGAGCTCTCGTGCGGGGGCACGCGGACGTCCTCGACGGGCAGGCGGTACGGGTGGAGCTTCGACAGCGTCACTCGGGGCTCTTCTTTCACCTGTTGGCAAGATCACGCAGTCGTTAAACAAGGACACCGTTGCCGTCATCTACGAGGTGCTTGTGGAGCGGACAGAGCCGGAGGACCACGGTGTATTTGCGATTCCTGAGCTCGAGGTACTTCAAAATGAGCTGACGGTACGCCTCGTAGCCGAAGTGCGGCTGGGAGCGGTTCTCGTGCGGGGGGACCCAGATGCTGTCCCACGCCCAGGGGTTCGGGAACCAGACGGGGTCTACTAGCCAGCATCTCCGCCGCTGCCGGACAAGAGAAAAGAGTCAACGACCTTCGGCGCACAGGCGGGGAGGTCTGTGCAGAGTCTCAGCTTTTCTTTTTGGGAGACAGGAAGAAAAAATCAAGCATTTTTTAAGTCATTTTGTTGCAAACAGCTGAAGAAGAGGAATCATCATCATCTCATGAAGTCTGATAAAAGCCGACTTATATTATGAATACCATTGGGTAGAGAATGAAAGAATCAGATTTGGGAAGATTCGAAGAGAAGCGCAAATCATCATTCCGAGACGAACCAGAGGAAAAAAAAGAAAAAAAAAATCGATGAAAACGTGCAAAGGTTCAACCGATCGTTCCCACACTGTCTGTTATTTGTTGCCTCTACGTTTCCCTGTTAGAAAAGATCATGCTCATGCGCATCTTAAACGCTCAATCCATAATTCACAACGAGTTCCTGAAGAAGTGAAAAAAGGTGAAAAAAAGCGGAGAAAAAAAAAAAAAAAAAAAAATCCGACGATGGAGGGCACAGACGCGCGTTTCCTTCTACGCGGTTCCAGCCAAACCCGGGGAGGCTTTGCAGTTCAGATTTTGTTTTTGGATTTTCTTTAACTTTGAACTCGCGGGCCCGGGCGTGGGCTTCCCAGTCCGGCTTCGCGCCCGGGCGGGAGGGAGGGAGCTAGTGGCCATAGCACGCCGGCGGCAAAAGGCCCAGGAATCCGCACATGAGGTCATACGAAGAGACCAGGTTGAAGTGCTTGACTCCCTTGGGCCACACGGAGCTCTCGTGGGGCGGTATTACCTCGTCCTCTACAGGCAGGCGGTAGGGGTGCTTGAGGTGCAAGGGCGTCACGATCCTGACGTCGCCCTCCTCCAGGGAGCTCGGCCTCACGAAGGGCTCGAACTCATAGCTGCTCGAACGGGCGCGGCCCACGAACCGAGGCTCACTGAAGGCGCGGTCCATGTACAGGACTTCTCGGGGAGGCGAGTGCTTGATGCGCTGTGAGGGCGGGAGAGGGAAGGGCGTCACCACACGAGACAACATGCATGGGGGAAAGTCATGCGATAACCTGATGGTCTACAAGTGACAATTTGCATGACAACAAAGGTAAAGTCATGCGAATAGCCTGATGGTCTACGTGTGACAACATGCGTGACAAGAGAGATGAAGTCATGCAGTAACTTTATGTTTTATGTTTGTCTGAGGAAACGGAAGATGCGAACAATAACGAATGATTTTCACAACGCCAGATGTACGGTAAACATTTCAGAAATACATCGTCAGCAGAATGACAAAATTCTGATGAACGTGTACCTCTCAAAAAGTCAATCACACAACTTGCACTGTGAAAATTACTCATTTTGCTCTGCATCTTCCTCTCAAAACGTCACAATAAACATTACTGTAGTCTACCTAGTTCTAGGGTCATTAAAATGATCTTAAACAGGATAAATGCACTTTGTCGAAAGTGACATTTCCATGCAGACAATAAAGGGTATTGCATGACACTCATTCTATGAATTTGCTAACCTTTTTAAACAAATGCAAGTCTGAAATCTACAAAGATTCTCGTCATGCTAAGTAGAGTATAGAAAATTCAGTGAAAGAAACTAAACAAATAAGATTAATTTTTTTAACTAAATCATGATTTCATGTACTCTAGACAATAAAATCAAAATTATATGACTCTCTACCAATTATTGGCAGCATCTACGTGATTAGTTATGAGAAAAGAGAAATCACAATTTCAATGAAGACAAGACATTTAAACGATAGACCTTTTTAAGGAATTAGTCTTAAAGACTCGATTTCGATAAGTCAAAAACGTTTTAAGGGAAAACGTTTTGCACAACGTTTCCTGCTTCGCTTTGTTCTTGAGATAAACACTTTGCAGAACAACGCAAAGAGAGAAACGCTATGTAGATTTTCCTCCTAAAGTGATTTTAACTTAAGGCTAAATTAGAAAGAGATTTCTAAACCGTTATTTAGACTATCTAAAATGAAATTACACGGTAACCATGCTCCATAATTCTACTTCAGAATCTGAGAAATAAAAAAAAAACAAGCTTACTTTTTCATGATTACTATTACTATTTAAATATACGATTAAGGTGACGAGGGAGGGAGGGAGGGGGTGAGGGGAGAGGGAGGGGGGGGTGAGGCAAGTCTCTCAACATCCAAAAAGAGGAAAGTTTTTGTAAAATTAATTTGACCTTACCATGGCTGTGTGTGATGTGGCGGGAGAGAGAGAGAGTGAGGGTTGCATCCTAACCGTTTATGCGATAA